TTTGATGCGAGTAGACACCATGGAGTGGAGATGTGAGGTGAGTCGACACGTTTTTGGGTGATTTGATGCGAGTCGACACCATGGAGTGGATATTATAGGTGAGTTGACACTTTTTTGGGTGATTTGATGCGAGTAGACACCATGGAGTGGAGATGTGAGGTGAGTCGACACTTTTTTGGGTGATGTGATGCGACTAGACACCATGGAGTGGAGATGTGAGGTGAGTCGACACTTTTTTGGGTGATATGATTCGAGTTGACACCATGGAGTGGAGATATGAGGTGAGTCGACACTTTTTTGGGTGATGTGATGCGACTAGACACCATGGAGTGGAGATGTGAGGTGAGTCGACACTTTTTTGGGTGTTTGATGCCAGTAGACACCATGGACTGGAGATGTGAGGTGAGTCGACACTTTTTTGGGTGATTTGATGCAAGCAGACACCATGGAGTGGAGATGTGAGGTGAGTCGACACTTTTTTGGGTGATATGATGCGACTAGACACCATGGAGTGGAGATGTGAGGTGAGTCGACACTTTTTTGGGTGATTTGATGCGAGTAGACACCATGGAGTGGAGATGTGAGGTGAGTCGACACTTTTTTGGGTGATGTGATGCGACTAGACACCATGGAGTGGAGATGTGAGGTGAGTCGACACTTTTTTTTGTGATTTGATGCAAGTAGAAACTATGGAGTGGAGATGTGAGGTGAGTCGACACATTATTGGGTGATTTGATGCGAGTAGACACCATGGAGTGGAGATGTGAGGTGAGTCGACACGTTTTTGGGTGATTTGATGCGAGTCGACACCATGAAGTGGACATGTGAGGTGAGTTGACACTTTTTTGGGTGATTTGATGCGACTAGACACCATGGAGTGGAGATGTGAGGTGGGTCGACACTTTTTTGGGTGATGTGATGCGACTAGACACCATGGAGTGGAGATGTGAGGTGGGTCGACACATTTTTGGGTGATGTGATGCGACTAGACACCATGGAGTGGAGATGTGAGGTGGGTCGACACTTTTTTGGGTGATATGATTCGAGTTGACACCATGGAGTGGAGATGTGAGGTGAGTCGACACTTTTTTGGGTGATGTGATGTGACTAGACACCATGGAGTGGAGATGTGAGGTGAGTCGACACTTTTTTGGGTGATGTGATGCAAGTAGACACCATGGAGTGGAGATGTGAGGTGAGTCGACACATTATTGGGTGATTTGATGCGAGTAGACACCATGGATGGGAGATGTGAGGTGAGTCGACTCTTTTTTGGGTGATGTGATGCAAGTAGACACCATGGAGTGGAGATGTGAGGTGAGTCGACACATTATTGGGTGATTTGATGCGAGTAGACACCATGGAGTGGAGATGTGAGGTGAGTCGACTCTTTTTTGGGTGATTTGATGCGACTAGACACCATGGAGTGGAGATGTGAGGTGAGTCGACACTTTTTTGGGTGATGTGATGCGACTAGACACCATGGAGTGGAGATGTGAGGTCAGTCGACTCTTTTTTGGGTGATTTGATGCGAGTAGACACCATGGAGTGGAGATGTGAGGTGAGTCGACACTTTTTTGGGTGATGTGATGCGACTAGACACCATGGAGTGGAGATGTGAGGTGAGTCGACACTTTTTTGGGTGATGTGATGCAAGTAGACACCATAGAGTGGAGATGTGAGGTGAGTCGACACTTTTTTGGGTGATCTGATGCGACTAGACACCATGGAGTGGAGATGTGAGGTGAGTCGACACTTTTTTGGGTGATATGATGCGACTAGTGACCATGGAGTGGAGATGTGAGGTGAGTCGACACGTTTTTGGGTGATTTGATGCAAGTAGACACCATGGAGTGGAGATGTGAGGTGCGTCGACACGTTTTTGGGTGATGAGATGCGACTAGACACCATGGAGTGGAGATGTGAGGTGAGTCGACACTTTTTTGGGTGATTTGATGCAAGTAGACACCATGGAGTGGAGATGTGAGGTGAGTCGACACTTTTTTGGGTGATGTGATGAGACTAGACACCATGTAGTGGAGATGTGAGGTGAGTCGACACTTTTTTTGGTGATTTGATGCGAGTAGACACCATGGAGTGGAGATGTGAGGTGAGTCGACACATTATTGGGTGATTTGATGCGAGTAGACACCATGGAGTGGAGATGTGAGGTGAGTCGACACGTTTTTGGGTGATTTGATGCGAGTCGACACCATGGAGTGGATATTATAGGTGAGTTGACACTTTTTTGGGTGATTTGATGCGAGTAGACACCATGGAGTGGAGATGTGAGGTGAGTCGACACTTTTTTGGGTGATGTGATGCGACTAGACACCATGGAGTGGAGATGTGAGGTGAGTCGACACTTTTTTGGGTGATATGATTCGAGTTGACACCATGGAGTGGAGATATGAGGTGAGTCGACACTTTTTTGGGTGATGTGATGCGACTAGACACCATGGAGTGGAGATGTGAGGTGAGTCGACACTTTTTTGGGTGTTTGATGCCAGTAGACACCATGGACTGGAGATGTGAGGTGAGTCGACACTTTTTTGGGTGATTTGATGCAAGCAGACACCATGGAGTGGAGATGTGAGGTGAGTCGACACTTTTTTGGGTGATATGATGCGACTAGACACCATGGAGTGGAGATGTGAGGTGAGTCGACACTTTTTTGGGTGATTTGATGCGAGTAGACACCATGGAGTGGAGATGTGAGGTGAGTCGACACTTTTTTGGGTGATGTGATGCGACTAGACACCATGGAGTGGAGATGTGAGGTGAGTCGACACTTTTTTTTGTGATTTGATGCAAGTAGAAACTATGGAGTGGAGATGTGAGGTGAGTCGACACATTATTGGGTGATTTGATGCGAGTAGACACCATGGAGTGGAGATGTGAGGTGAGTCGACACGTTTTTGGGTGATTTGATGCGAGTCGACACCATGAAGTGGACATGTGAGGTGAGTTGACACTTTTTTGGGTGATTTGATGCGACTAGACACCATGGAGTGGAGATGTGAGGTGGGTCGACACTTTTTTGGGTGATGTGATGCGACTAGACACCATGGAGTGGAGATGTGAGGTGGGTCGACACATTTTTGGGTGATGTGATGCGACTAGACACCATGGAGTGGAGATGTGAGGTGGGTCGACACTTTTTTGGGTGATATGATTCGAGTTGACACCATGGAGTGGAGATGTGAGGTGAGTCGACACTTTTTTGGGTGATGTGATGTGACTAGACACCATGGAGTGGAGATGTGAGGTGAGTCGACACTTTTTTGGGTGATGTGATGCAAGTAGACACCATGGAGTGGAGATGTGAGGTGAGTCGACACATTATTGGGTGATTTGATGCGAGTAGACACCATGGATGGGAGATGTGAGGTGAGTCGACTCTTTTTTGGGTGATTTGATGTGACTAGACACCATGGAGTGGAGATGTGAGGTGAGTCGACACTTTTTTGGGTGATGTGATGCGACTAGACACCATGGAGTGGAGATGTGAGGTCAGTCGACTCTTTTTTGGGTGATTTGATGCGAGTAGACACCATGGAGTGGAGATGTGAGGTGAGTCGACACTTTTTTGGGTGATGTGATGCGACTAGACACCATGGAGTGGAGATGTGAGGTGAGTCGACACTTTTTTGGGTGATTTGATGCGAGTAGACACCATGGAGTGGAGATGTGAGGTGAGTCGACACTTTTTTGGGTGATGTGATGCGACTAGACACCATGGAGTGGAGATGTGAGGTGAGTCGACACTTGGGCTGCCTCATGTACCTGATGACTTGCACACGACCTGACCTCGCATACCCTCTCAGCCTTCTGGCTCGCTACGTGGCTCCCGGTAGGCACCGAAAGGTGCACTGGGATGCTGCGAAGAGGGTGTTGCGCTACTTGTGCAGTACATCGGTCATGGGGCTCGTGCTTGGAGGACGGGCTCGAGTTGTCCTCACTGGTCATGCTGACAACTCCTGGGTTGACGACTTGGCTACGCAGCGGTTGTCACAGGGTTACACCTTCAGTCTTGGCTCCGGTTCTGTCTCTTGGCGGTCTACCCGCTCTTCTTCTGTTCTCAGCTCCAGTTGTGAGGCTGAGATCTACGCTGGGGCCATGGCTGCACAGGAGCTACGCTGGCTCACCTACCTGCTGACCGACTTGGGAGAGGCGCCTCGTTCTCCTCCAGTTCTGTACGTCGACAACAAGGCCATGCTGGCTTTGTGTCAGGAGCACAGACTGGAGCACAGAACGAAGCACATTGCTTTACGCTACTTCCTTGCTCGAGAGTTGCAGCAGCGTGGCCAGCTTCGTCTTGCTTACGTGGCCTCTCAGGCCAACACTGCTGATGTTTTCACCAAGGCACTTCAGCCTTGTGATCATCAGCGTTTCTGTACTGTGTTAGGCCTTGTACCTACTGTGCCTCACTTGCTTTCTTCTTGACTCTGCTTCTACTGTACTCTTTATACATATACCTGCATGCTTACACTTGCTAGGTTGTGTTCACTGTATTGTTTGTTCTCTTTTATATAACTCTGCATGTGTACTGGCCTTGTGGCCATTTTCTTGTGCTCAGACTGCGTGGTGACTTTGTGATCCACCCTGAGCTTGTTTTGCCTTTATTGACTGGTCTTGTGACCTCTTGTTCTCCCCCACTTTGCCTATGGGGGTGTGTCAAACTTATATGCTATAATCTGTTGAGGCTGTAGTGGGGTAGTTCTTACAGGGTACAACACTTTTTGGTTTCCTATATGTACCCACCTGCTTTCTAGTTCAGCCATTCATTCCTCTCATTATTCTCACACTGGCAACATCAGGGACTCCACCCGCCCCGCTTGTGCGAACCCCTCCTCGCCCCGCGTGCCAGAAGGGCTATTGCCGACCGCCTCTGGAGCGATTTATTTGAGCTTTCTTCGTGCGCGCGCATCTGCCGTTACCCTTGGCAATTCGGCAGCGAGCGCAGCCGTGTTGCTGTCGCAGCAGCACAGTTTTCCGCAATGACGGCGGGGACAGGCAGAGCGGGGGGATTAGAGGTGGTGGAGAGCGGGGGAAGTGGGGACAGCAGAGAGTGGGAGATGGGAGAGGGGAGAGTGCGTGGAGGACGCGTGAACATCGTTCCGTGGCAAGAAGTGGTGGAGGAGAAGCGGGCAGGCACGGTTGCAAGGGGAGTGTGCGTGGGGGAGGTGGTGCGGGGCAGCGGCGTGGAGGAGGCAGGGCAAGCAGCGTCGTCACACATGACTGTGCGTGAGGGCGAGCACGTGGAACGAGGCTGTGCTGCAGGGGTGGGAGCGAGGGCAGTAGGAGGGCGAGGAGACAGTGCGGCAGCAGAGGAGTGGGGCACAGCAGGCTCGCTCTCACGCACGCGCGCACAGCCCACACCCATCTGTCCTGACCTGCCTGTGCTGGTCGCCATGATGCCAGGGTCAACCCCTTCAGCAGGGGCAGCAGGCCCCTGGGCGGGTGCGCCCTCCAGTGTGGGCAGTCACAGGAGCGCCCATGCGGATGCGTGTGCGTCAATGGAGGGCCACCTGTGCAAGGAGCCGTCGCTAATTGTCTTCTCAGGTACCCTCCTGCTGCTCCCGCTGCCTCGCCTGGCCCCGTCGCGTGCCGCCACCCCTGCCGCTCTACATGCTGACGTGCGCCTCTCCCTGTGCTGCCGGGCTTGTGCCCCCCTCCATGCGGTGTGCGGCAGGAGGCACGGCGTTCAACGCGGTGGCGGAGGAGCTGCACGAGTGGACCACAGCTGTGGCGCACGTGCTGCCCGTCTCCGATGACGGCGGCAGCACCGCAGAGATCGTGCACATCATAGGTCAGCCACTCATACCCTGCTGCTCTCTGCCTCACCGCCCCGCAGCAAGGTGCTTCCTGTTGTTGCTGCATCTCTCTCTCAGGCCATGCTTCCCATGCTCTCTCCAGCGCCCACCTCTTTCACTCAACACCCTCTTTGGCCCCCTCAACACCACCGTCTGTGTCCCCAGGCGGGCCTGCCATCGGTGACATTCGCTTGCGCTGCATGCACCTGTCCGACGGGTCCAGCCACGAGGCCAGAGCAGTGCGGCGATTGCTGGGACACCGCCTACCACTGCACCCCGTGCAAGCCAAGGCAGAATGGTGACCTCGCGCCCACACCACACCCATGAAAACCACTTACTACATCCATCGCCCGCCCTCCGTTCTCTGTGGGCTGGTGCGCACGGCTCACGGTGTGGCCTGCCATGGGCATGTGGTGTGTGTGTGTGTGCAGGCTGAGCATAGTGGAGGGCGAGCATGAGCTGTGGGGGGGCGTGTCGGATCCATACAAGGAGATCATCCGCGCCTTCCTCCTGCACTTCCACTACCAGGTTCTCCTCGCCTCCACACCTCTGTTCCGCTCTGCTTGCAACATCTCCGATGTCACCAACAGCCCATCAGAACCTTCTCCCTCGTCCTCATGTGCCCATCCTCGTCCGCTCTCCGTCCTGTCTGCCTTGGCCCTCCATGCCAGATCCTCCGCAATGCAGGCCATCGCTTCTGCTTCCAGCATGGAAGGTGTGCATTCTCTTTCCTCCTCGCACACCCATCCTTTTGCCATGACACACCACACCACACCCCACACCCATCATTCTTGCACGCCACGCCCCTTACAATGACTGCCACCTCACGCTCTCCACTTGTCCTTCTGGCCTCGCACCATCACGCCATGCGTGACACCTGTGTGCGCCCGTGCATGGCATGGAGTGCAGTGTGGGCAACTTCTTCTTCTCAGGCTCGCGCTCCTTCTTCCGCTCACTGGATGCCGCCATCTTCCTCTTCTCCCGCGTCTCCAACATCCCACAGCGCAGCCTTGTGCTGCCCTGTGTCTGCACCAACGACCGCTTCACTCTCGGCGTCGAGCTCCCCCCCCACACACCACTTCTTCCCTCAACTCATGCCTCTCATCCCACCTTCATACTGACAAAAGCCGCTATCCAGCTCTTCACCGCCTCCAATGCCTATCAGTGCAGTGTGTCCCACTTTGGCCCCGCATTAGCATTGCATGGCCATCCCCTTCCATGATTACCATGAGGCCCATTTCTCCTTCCACTCACTCCAGTGATTTGTCGCAGTTTTCATCTAATCCCAGTATCCATCTCCTGTTTCTTTGTGCGTGCGATCCGCCCTTCCCGTATGTGTGTTGGTGCACCACATGGTGTGGGCATCAGGATGGCAGCATCATCCGTGGGCAGAACGACATCTCGCACCCCGCTGTTCGTGGACAGCCCACGCCACCTGCCGCTCTCCGTTGACAAGGTCGTACTGCTGCCACCGCCCTGCTGCAATGCCACCTCTGCATGCCTTGCCGCCGCCCCCTCACACCCTCACATGTCCACCACCCAGGTTGATGGAGCGTGCCTCACGTGTGTTCCTACTGCCTGTCTTCCTCTCCCTTTTCCTACCCCCATTCTCTCTGCAGTCTTCTGATGCGTCGCCTCCTCTGCCCGCCCCCATCCGCCATGTGTTCTACATGTCGAGTGAAGGCACCAACCTGCTGCATGAGGTGCGTGCCGCCTGCCATGGGCTCAACTCTGTGCCACCATGCGTGCCACCTCTGGGATGCTTCAAGCTGCCAACTGCTGGAAATGCTGCACCTTGCATGTGCCATCTGTGGAACTGAGGCCCGTAGCTGCCATCTTTTATCACCGTGTGTGAGGGTCACGGTGCTCGTTGGTGTGTGGTGTGTGGCAGGTGTTCCCTTGAGTGAATCCGCGAGTGCTGGAGCACATGGCATCAGTGGATGGCATCATCTATGGCATTGGCTCCCTCTTCACCTCCATCTGCCCCTCCCTCGTACCTACCTACACCCCCCTTTCTTACCATCTCCTCGTTCTCACCATTTGTGTTCATCTCCCTCACTTCTTGCTCCTGTCATGCTCTCACTATCACTGTTTTATGCAGAGATTTATCCATTCATGTCTCCCATTTTCGTTGCCCTCATCACTGTCCCGTCCGCAATCCCTTTCCCCCGAACCTCAGATCTTGCGAGGGGTGGGAGAAGCAATCACCGCACGAGCATGTCCCAAGGTATGGCCGAGTGCACCAGAATATCCCAAGGAATGCTCTGCTCTGCTGCACACCCCATCAACTCTCTTTGTTCCTCCCTTGCCATCCTCCTCTTCACCGGTTCTTTTTTGGTGGGGGAGGGCGTGAGTTCAGAGGGAAAAGCTCGCAGTGGCATCACATGTTGTGTGGCGTGTTTTCCTCACGCGCCCCAACCGCGCATGGCATGGCAGGTGCTAGTGCTGAACGGGTCGTTGGACCGTGAGACAGCTGGCATGGCGGCGTCAGACTTTGTGCTGGCCATCTGCAACTGCCTCAACCGCACATTCGGAGACGACTCCCGCCACCGCCTCACCCACTCGGTCAGATGCACACGCCACCGCTCACACCTGTGTATTCCTGGATGCTTTCAACTCCCACTTACCCTTCATCCATTTCACTCGTGTTCCCCTCTGCTGTGGCCACCCATTTCCGATCCGCTGCAGTCGATGCACTATGTGACGCATCTCATCGCACCAGAGGGAGGAGCCATTCCCCTTGACTATGAACGCCTCACATACTTGGGAGTCACCTCTCTGGTAAGTCCTGCCACATACCCATTGCTGCAAGATGTTACCCTCTCATGCCTGTGGACTGCCTTCCATGTTATGTTGGTTGGTATGCATGATCCACAGCATTCGTGTCCCATCCCATCCGCATTTTTCTTTACGTGTCACCCTGCCCCTGCGCCAGACCATGGTTCCCTCGCTTCCCTGTGAAAGCAGTCCTGGAGTGCATTATGGTGTGCATGCGCTTGTCACAACATTGAAGGACCTCCTTACCAAACAGATGGCCAGCCAAGTAACCACCTGAACCAGCAACCATATTTTTGCAGACTCTATACGATTAGGCGTTTGGTTTGTTTGCACCACTACTAGTGCCCGCCGTGTTTTTTTTTTTTTTTTTTTTTTTTTTTTTTCTCTCTCATTCACCATCCTGAAAGTTACATATTGTACCGTATCTGTTTTCAGATGACAGCATCCTCACACATACTTAAAAATCCGTGTGGTGTTTCAATGAGGAAATGTGGGGCGCTTCACTTAACCATTTGAATGTTTAGTGCAGCACGTAGAGCGTGCTTGTAAGTTGTAACGAGTCATGACGCGCCTCGTAGGGTTTCCGACAGCAGGACCCAGGGATCAGGCAGCCGACGTCGAAGATTGGGTGCCAAGAGCATCCGCGCGTGTTTGGCCTCGGCGGCGTTACTGAACATAGCAACTGGAACATTCGCCCGCATCCATGGCCTGGCATGGGGCACGACTTGTCCCCGCCTTGTGTCTGTGGTCATAAAGGGAATGACGGACCGCCCTGGTTTCGGGTTTCCGATTTATTTTGGCAGTGGTTTTGACACCGCCTTGCTTTGCGCTCAAGTCCGATACCTTCGGTTAGTTATTTACGCTATTGCCCCTTTTCGAGTCCAGAGACTAATTTGTTTGTTTATTGGGATAGCATAAATTGAATAGTCGCGTCAATTACGGGAAGCTCGGAACAATAAATATACACCCCTCATGGAGGTCATGCCATTTGGGAGGCATCAACCCTAAACGCCATGAGGCAAGGTGTTTAGGGTTGATGCCTCCCAAATGGCCAGCCATCCGAGAGGGGTTTATTTTTTCCACTGGCCACTAAACTAAAACCAGGCAAACTTCAGAATTTTTCTGGTCAGAAAAAATTGGAAATGTCGAAATCAGCTGCCCCAAGGAATCGGAAGCGAGCAGAGAAGCAAGGCGGTGTCAAAGCCACTTCCCAAAGGAATCGGAAACATGAAAACAGGGCGATTTGTCATTTCCTCGTGGTCATGGGTCCTGCTTGCGCAGCTCAATGTGGCACCCAGCAGGTGAGCGGAATACTGTGCAGGTGCAAAGATGGGATGGACATGGAACCACCCAATCCCAGGTCATGGCGTGCGCGCTGGCAGCATGCCATCAGATCACCATGCAGCAAAGTGCGCCATCACTGGCGCAGGATGGCAAGTCCCGCGGAGTGCGAGGAGTCTCTTCATAATATATAGATTAACGTGCTCCATGGCCTCCGCTCCCTCATTGCAACCAGAGGGTGACAGATGCATTTCAAAGGCCGCATCATTTAGCGTCGCCACCATTCATCAGCGTCATTTGGAATAAATTAAGAATGAGCCATCGCGTTCGCGACAGCGTTTCTCCTCCGTTGCGTGTGTAGCGTGCGAGAGCGACTACCCGAGCGCGGAATCCGATCATCCATCGCCACCACGATGACAAGCGCGCCCGCCGGGAGATGACGCTGCCCGTGTCGCGCCGTGCGGGCGGATACGGACAGCCACAGCGAGCGCGAGAACGCAGGGGTGCGTACAGGCGCGTTAATGGCTGCCTGCGCGACAGCGCCGTGCCGCGACACGTCGCCCAAGCGAATTCCGAACTGGCCGAGCGTGAATGCGGGGGCGGGGCGGCGATGCCGCGGGAGAGCGACGGCGACGGTGGGGCGCATGGGGCGGGGCGATGGCGGGCTTCTGGTGCCCGCTGCTGCCCAGCATTCTCCGCACGCGCGCCCCCTTACTCACATCGCCCACGCGGTGCAGCGCATGCTCTCAGGCACAACTGCAGCGCCGCCTCCCGTAACCCTCGTGGAACCGTGTCCGTGTCCGTGCCGCAATCTCGTGGAACGATGTCGCCGTGCCACGCGCCCGTCGTGCCATGGCCGCGCGCCTGCGCCCTTGCGCTCCTCCTCCTCCTGCACTGCCTGCCGCACGCACCCCCCCTCTCCGTGCGGGCAGCGCAGGGATGCGCGGATCAGCTGGAAAAGGCGCCGGCGGCGACGGCGGAGGCGGAGGGGCCGGAGGGTTCGGGCTGCATGGGGTGGTCGCACGGGGGATGGGGGGGAGCGTGGGCGGAGGGGGTGCGCGAGACGGCTTCGGAAAGAGGCGGAAAAGGCAACCTGGCGTGGCTGCTCTCAGTGCAGCAGCAACAACCGCAGACAGTGAGTGGGACGACGCGAGGACATTTTCGATCACGCTAATAGTTGCTGCATCCATGCGCGCACACGCACACACGCACGGAGTGCGCTCTGATGCGGTCCGTGGATGCTGACCCTTCACGCCGCGCTCACGCCGCACGCTCTCATGCGTGCTCGCACGCCGCCTTGCCCTTCCCCCCCCGGTGCCCTGCAGGCTGCCAGCACGGCACCCGTGCGCGCACTTGCGGCGCGCAGCAGCAACCAGCAGGTACTCTCGTCTTGCATCTCGCGCCATCATTGGCACGCTGCCGCGTTCCCCCCCACTATGATCGCTGTGCGCGTCCCCGCTGTCCCTTCATACGCAACATCTCCGCTGCTCCCGCCTTGCCCGCCCCTCTTCCCCGGCGCAGTTCCTGACAGCCTTCTCCTCGCTGCACCGCGCGCCCGCGTCCACGCCCACCCGCCACCCCCCGGGAGACGCATCTCCGGGATCCGCGCAGCCCCAGCACTCTTACGCCTCCCGCCTCCTCTCCACCCCCCCTACCCACACTCAATCACCCACTCCACCGCCGCTCTCCGCCTCTGCTGCCGCACCCCCCTCATCCCAACCCGCTCCGCTTCCCCTTACTTCGCCCACCCACTCACCTTCCACTTCCTCCCCGCCTCTTTCCCCTCCTTCCGCTCCGTCGCCTGCGCAGTCGGACTCCTTCCCCCCCATATCCTCCTCCCCCTCTAAAATCTCCTCCGCCCCTATCACCTTCCCACACCCCTCCTCCCCGCCATTAACCCCGTCCGCCCCCATGATATCACCGCATGTACCACCCCCACACTCCTCCTCCTCGTCCTCCTCCTCCTCCTCCTCCTCCTCCTCCTCCTCCTCCTCCTCCTCCTCCTCCTCCTCCTCCTCCTCCTCCTCCTCTCCCGCCGCCGCCGCCTCCGCCGCAGCGCCACCATCCACGGCGCCCCGCCTCGCATCGCCCTCACCGCTCGCCCCATCGCACCGCGCCCTCTCTGTCCTCGCGGCTCTCGACGTGTCCTCGCCACCGCCCAGCCACGCGCCGTCGCTGTCCGCGGAGCCTCAGTCCGCGCCCGCCGCGCCTCAGGACTCCGCCACCAGCACCACCAACGCCTCCGCCTTTCTGCACTCCATGCCCTCCCTCACGCCCACCGCCATCCCCTCACCATCGCCGCCCCCACCCTCTCCCGATCCCTCGCCCCCCCCTCCCTCTTCCAACCCTTCACCCCCTCCGCCCTCTCCCCATCCGTCGCCCCCTCCCACTTTTCCGCCCCCTTCTCAGGTACTGCCGTCCCTCGCCTCGCTGCTCCCTCCCTCTGCGCCCTGCTCCATGCATTGCTCTTTCCTGTACTATACCGCTTGTAGAAGCCTCGTTTCTGCCCTTTTCTGCAACCCATACCGTCCCCTTTCTTCTCCTGACATGCGCTCTCCCCCCCGTTCCCCCCCATACTTGTACTTCCCTGCACCCCAGCCGCCCCCCTCTCCCCCTCCACCAACGCCTGCAGCACCGCCACCAGGTAAGCCGTGCCCCTCCCACCTGCTGCCATTAGTAATGCACGAGTCCTGGCTCTCACACCGAGAAGCCATTTCAGCTGCTCTGCACTCCGCCTCCCACCTTCCACCGCTCCAAACTCATTGCTCTATTTCCCAATTTGCCCCTTTTTCCCCTCTCGTTTTCCCAATGTCATTCGCAGCGGCACCACCATCGCCTCCTCACGACCAGCCTCCGCCAAATCAACCGCCCCCAGCCCCGTCCCCGCCACCCCCTTCACCAAATATCTCGCCCCCATCACCCTCTCCTCCCCCCCCCTCCCCTCCTCCGCCTTCCCCCAATCCGCCCTCCCCTCCTCCCCCGCAACTCGATCCCCCCCCTCCCTCGCCACCACCCCCATCGCACCCGCCACCAACCCCTCCTGACCAATCGCCCCCGCCGCCTCCTCCAGACCCTCCTTCCGCCCCACCCCCTGCCACTCCGCCCCCTGATCTCTCCCCCACTGACGCTCTTCCTCCCAGCTCTCTCCCCCCGGAGTCCTCTCCTCCCCCTCCTCCGCCGGACAGCCCTCCGCCCCCTCCGCCTGTTGAAACCCCCCCGCCTTCCCCAGCAACGCCCCCCTCGTCCCCTCCCCCCGTGGCCCCACACCAAAAGCCGAGTACCTTGGAGGAAGTCACCAACCCCCCGCCACCAGAGCACCCGCCCCCGCCTGCCCCCCCTTCTGACACGCGCCCTCCTCGCGCCCCCCCTGTGCAACCACCCAGTGCCCCGCCCCCTTCCCCCCGTCCCCACCCGCAGCACCAGTCCTCCCCCCCACCGGATCCCCCACACCATCCACCCCCCACGTCTCCCCACCACCCTCCCCTCGCCCCCCCTGTCCGCGCCCAACATGACCGTCCCTCGGAGCTCCCCCCTCTCGTCCACGCGTCTGGGCGCCGTCATACTCCCTCCCAAGCGCCCCCTGTTCACAGACCGCCAGTGCCACGCCACTCACACTCACAGCCTCCCACAAAAACATCAAAGGGCAGAACACGTCCCCCCAAGAAATCGGTTGAGGATGGAGGGGAGAGCGGGAAGAAACCCGCCAAGAGGCAGTCGCCTCCTAAGGAGAGGCGGACACACAAGCACGCGTCCCCCCCACCTCCGCACAAGAGCAAGTCCAAGCACAAGCACCACCACGCACACCCCCCTGCACCTCCGCCTGCCACTGAGCCTGCGCCCTCGCCTGCCGTGCTGGTGGATGGTGCCAATGCTGCCTCCCCCGATGATGCGGCCCTGCTGCCGCCCCTGCCTCCCACACCGCCCCTCATACTACCACCACCACCCCCAGACTCACGCCGTAAGCCCCCTTGCTGCTGCCGCTCTGTTGCTTGGCATGGCAAAGCGGTTTTGCTTGTTCGTTTGTTTCAGGCGTCCTTCTCATCCGATTCTCATCTCTGCTCGTCCTGGCCCTCTCGCCCACCTCCCTCCCTTCCCCGTGCGCCCCTCACTGCCCGCCCACTGCCTCCCGTGTGCACGTGGCGCTGCACGGTGCAGACTGCAGGGAGTGTCCGCTGGGCACGGCAGTGAAGCCAGCGAGCGGCCCCACGGACGTGGCCTGTGTGTGCGCCGTGCCCATGGTGGTGGGGCTGCGCCTAGCCCTGCCCTTTGACGACTTCCTGCACTCTGTACCGCTCTTCGCCCAGCAGCTCAGTGCGGGGCTGCGAGTCACGCCGCAGCAGGTGCAGGTGTGGGGCGTGGAGTACGACCGCCAAGGCACAGGTTTCCTAGACACCACGTCGTACCTGCTGCCCCTGCACGGCACACAGCTGCCCGCCTCCCTCGTGGCGTCCATCCGCCGGCGCCTGCTGGGCGGGCACGTGTGGCTGGACCCTGCCCTCTTCGGCCGCTTCCAGGTGCTCTTCATCCTCAACCCCGGCGACCACCTCCCTCCGCCCGCCCTGCACCCCGCCTCCGCGCCCGCTCCCCCTCCCCCGCCCTGGCCTGCCTCGTCGGACGGGTGGGCGCCGCCACAGGTGGGCGGGGGCACGGAGGTGGGGGGCGGAAGCACGGGGCATTCGATGGCGGCACTGGAGATAGCGCTCTTCATTGTGGCGCCCTGCCTGCTGCTGCTCCTCATGCTCGCCTCCTGCCTCGCCTGGCTCCTCCTCTACCGCCGCCGCCAACACCGCTCCGCCGCTGTTGCCGATGCCGCCACTGCTGCTGCTGCTGCCGCCTCTGCAGGTGCACCGATGGCAGCAGACGTGGCGGACAAAGATGCTGGGCTTCCTGTGGAAAAGGGCCTGGAGAGCATCGGTGAGGCACAGCACATGCTTTGAACGTTGACTTGTGGAATCTGTTGCACTCCATGCCATGTGCTTCAGTACCCGCATATTCCCTTCATGTGTCACCGCTTGTGCTTGGCAATTGATCCCACGACCGCTTGTGTTTGGCAATTGATCCCACGACCGCTTGTGTTTGGCAATTGATCCCACGACCGCTTGTGTTTGGCAATTGATCCCACGACCGCTTGTGTTTGGCAATTGATCCCACGACCGCATGTGTTTGGCAATTGATCCCACGACCGCTTGTGTTTGGCAATTGATCCCACGACCGCTTGTGTTTGGCAATTGATCCCACGACCGCTTGTGTTTGGCAATTGATCCCACGACCGCTTGTGTTTGGCAATTGATCCCACGACCGCTTGTGTTTGGCAATTGATCCCACGACCGCTTGTGTTTGGCAATTGATCCCACGACCGCTTGTGTTTGGCAATTGATCCCACGACCGCTTGTGTTTGGCAATTGATCCCACGACCGCTTGTGTTTGGCAATTGATCCCACGACCGCTTGTGTTTGGCAATTGATCCCACGACCGCTTGTGTTTGGCAATTGATCCCACGACCGCTTGTGTTTGGCAATTGATCCCACGACCGCTTGTGTTTGGCAATTGATCCCACGACCGCTTGTGTTTGGCAATTGATCCCACGACCGCATGTGTTTGGCAATTGATCCCACGACCGCATGTGTTTGGCAATTGATCCCACGACCGCATGTGTTTGGCAATTGATCCCACGACCGCTTGTGTTTGGCAATTGATCCCACGACCGCATGTGTTTGGCAATTGATCCCACGACCGCTTGTGTTTGGCAATTGATCCCACGACCGCATGTGTTTGGCAATTGATCCCACGACCGCTTGTGTTTGGCAATTGATCCCACGACCGCATGTGTTTGGCAATTGATCCCACGACCGCATGTGTTTGGCAATTGATCCCACGACCGCATGTGTTTGGCAATTGATCCCACGACCGCTTGTGTTTGGCAATTGATCCCACGACCGCATGTGTTTGGCAATTGATCCCACGACTGCTTGTGTTTGGCAATTGATCCCACGACCGCTTGTGTTTGGCAATTGATCCCACGACCGCATGTGTTTGGCAATTGATCCCACGACCGCATGTGTTTGGCAATTGATCCCACGACCGCATGTGTTTGGCAATTGATCCCACGACCGCTTGTGTTTGGCAATTGATCCCACGACCGCATGTGTTTGGCAATTGATCCCACGACCGCTTGTGTTTGGCAATTGATCCCACGACCGCTTGTGTTTGGCAATTGATCCCACGACCGCATGTGTTTGGCAATTGATCCCACGACCGCATGTGTTTGGCAATTGATCCCACGACCGCTTGTGTTTGGCAATTGATCCCACGACCGCTTGTGTTTGGCAATTGATCCCACGACCGCATGTGTTTGGCAATTGATCCCACGACCGCTTGTGTTTGGCAATTGATCCCACGACCGCTTGTGTTTGGCAATTGATCCCACGACCGCTTGTGTTTGGCAATTGATCCCACGACCGCTTGTGTTTGGCAATTGATCCCACGACCGCATGTGTTTGGCAATTGATCCCACGACCGCTTGTGTTTGGCAATTGATCCCACGACCGCTTGTGTTTGGCAATTGATCCCACGACCGCTTGTGTTTGGCAATTGATCCCACGACCGCTTGTGTTTGGCAATTGATCCCACAACCGCTTGTGTTTGGCAATTGATCCCACGACCGCTTGTGTTTGGCAATTGATCCCACGACCGCTTGTGTTTGGCAATTGATCCCACGACCGCTTGTGTTTGGCAATTGATCCCACGACCGCTTGTGTTTGGCAATTGATCCCACGACCGCTTGTGTTTGGCAATTGATCCCACGACCGCTTGTGTTTGGCAATTGATCCCACGACCGCTTGTGTTTCACGCTTCAAATCTACATAGATCTATGGCCTTGCTATCCTCCTCTCAACACTTGCATCTCTCTCACCTGTACCCGCTCCCTCTTCACCCCCCTCGCCCCACCGGCAGCGCCATCCCAAGCGTGGCCATCATCGGCTGCCTTCTGCTCGCCCTCGCCCGACGCCCATGCGGCCCTGCCGTCGTCATCACTGCCAAGCGAGGTAGCGGGGCTGGGTGTGAGCCTGGGGTTTGCGGGCACGGGCACGGGCCTCAACGCCTCCTCACTCGCCCTGTGCGGACTGGCCACGGCACCAGCGGGCGCGGTGGTGTTCTCACTGCTGCAGCTGCGCCGTGCCACGAACGACTTCCATGCGGACAACCTGCTGGGGCAGGGCGGCTTCAGCCGTGTGTACCGTGGCGAGCTGGCGGACGACACCCTCGTCGCCGTCAAGCTGCTGCACTCCCCCGAGGCGCATGGGGACGCGGGGGAGGGGGGTGCGGGGTCGGTGGAGGAGCAGGAGAGGGAGAGAGCAGACGCGGAGTTCATGAGGGAGGCGCAGGTGCTGAGCTGCCTGCACCACCGCAACCTCGTCAAGCTGCTCGGTATCTGTGCGGAGGGCGGGCGGCGCTGCCTGGTGTACCAGCTGGCGGGGAACGGCAGCCTGGCGTCGCACCTGCACGGGGTCATGCGCGAGGTGGTGGGTGTGATGGAGTGGGAGCGCCGCATGAAGGTGGCGCTGGGTGTGGCGCGCGCGCTCTCGTACCTGCACGACGACGCGAGCCCGCGTGTGGTGCACCGCGATGTGAAGAGTGCCAATGTGCTGCTGGACCTGGACTTCTCCCCCCTGCTCTCCGACCTCGGCCTCGCCAAGACCATGCCCCACGCTGCCACCCCCGCACTGGCGGAGCAGGGAGCGGTGGGAGGAGGGGAACAGGCGTCCAGGATGATGGGCTCCGTGGGGTGAGTGAAGGGGGGGGGACACATGGATGGGATGGGCAGCAGGGTGGGAGCAAGGGGTGGGGTGTTTTCAATGAGAGGGCGTGGGGGTCAAGGTGATGAGGACACTGTTGACTACGTCTGTGCCCTGTGCTGCGTGCTCACAACCCCCTTGCGCCTCCTCCCGTCGCGTGTCCCCCATCTGCTGTGCATGCCCTGCCCATGTGACCACCCTGCAGCTACGTGGCACCAGAGGTGGCGCTGACGGGGCAGGTGTTGGTGCGCAGTGACGTGTACAGCTTCGGTGTGGTGCTGCTGGAGCTGCTGGCAGGCCGCAAGCCCATCGACCACTCGCTGCCCCCGCCCCGGCACAGCCTTGTGCAGTGGGCCTCGCCGCTGCTGCTCAGGTGCGCCTTGCATGCACCGAAAAGACTCGCCGTGCCACAAGCATGGGGGGTGCGATGGGATATGGCATGTGCATGCACAGGCATGGGGTGAAACGGGTAAGATTGAGAGCATTAGTGTGCCTTCATGGTGTCTCCTCTCCCACCCTGCCCACTCTCATCATGCTGCCATCATGCTGCCTGCATCGCATCCACCCCATCAGTTTAGACCCCATCAGTTTCCACCCCATCAGTTTCCACCCCATCAGTTTCCGCCCCATCAGTTCCACCCCATCAGTTTCCGTACCATCAGTTTCCACCCCATCAATTTCCACCCCATCAGTTTCCACCCCATCAGTTTCCGCCCCATCAGTTTCCACCCCATCAGTTTCCAGCCCATCAGTTTCCACCCCATCAGTTCCCACCCCATCAGTTCCCACCCCATCAGTATCCGCCCCATCAGTATCCGCCCCATCAGTTTCCGCCCCATCAGTTTCCGCCCCATCAGTTTCCGTCCCATCACCACCCCATCAGTTTCTGCCCCATCAGTTTCCACCCCATCAATTTCCACCCCATCAGTTTCCACCCCATCAGTTTCCGCCCCATCAGTTTCCACCCCATCAGTTTCCACCCCATCAGTTTCCGCCCCATCAGTTTCCGCCCCATCAGTTTCCACCCCATCAGTTTCCACCCCATCAGTTTCCAGCCCATCAGTTTCCGCCCCATCAGTTTCCACCCCATCAGTTTCCACCCCATCAGTTTCTGCCCCATCAGTTTCCGCCCCATCAGTTTCCGCCCCATCAGTTTCCGCCCCATCAATTTCCACCCCATCAGTTTCCACCCCATCAGTTTCCACCCCATCAGTTTCCACCCCATCAGTTTCTGCCCCATCAGTTTCCGCCCCATCAGTTTCCGCCCCATCAGTTTCCGCCCCATCAGTTTCCACCCCATCAGTTTCCACCCCATCAGTTTCCACCCCATCAGTTTCCACCCCATCAATTTCCACCCCATCAGTTTCCACCCCATCAGTTTCCGCCCCATCAGTTTCCACCCCATCAGTTTCCAGCCCATCAGTTTCCGCCCCATCAGTTTCCGCCCCATCAGTTTCCACCCCATCAGTTTCCACCCCATCAGTTTCCACCCCATTGCACGCCCCCTGAACCTGTCTCCCATGCTCTGCTGCTACCTTTCTGCTGCGTGAATTCCCGTGAGCAGCAGTGCAGGGGTGAAGCAGGTGGTGGACCCGGCGCTCAAGGGGCGCTATCCTCTGGAGGCGGCCATGCGTGTGGCGGGCATTGCCAGCATGTGCCTGCAGCAACTCCCTGACAACCGCCCCTTCATGACCCAAGTCGTTCAGGTGTGTGCGCTGCCCCTCACGTACCAACGGAGGGAAAGGGATGGCAACGCTGCCCATTGTGTGCCTGTGCCGTTGGTCTGGCTCAGATCAGCTACCTGAATCGTCTCCTCCTCTCCTCATATCTGCACGGGCCCACCTGCCTCTGTGCCTCGCTGTGTTCCCCTCCCCTGCGGCACGGCAGGCGCTGAAGCTAGTGTACAGGGAGGGCAGTGAGGGCAGTGAGAGTGACGACGACGATGACGACGAGTCCTTCGCACAGCCCTCTCACGCCTCCCACCGCACACCTGTGCCCGCATCCGCTACCGCCACCAGTGCAGCCAGCGCTGGCATTGGCAGTGAGAGCGGGCGGGTGAGTGAGAGCGATGTGACGAGCATGGGCATGGATGCGGGCATGGACGCCAGTGACAGCGCCATGGGCAGCGCGGGCATGGCTCTCTCCCCCTCAGACAGGGGCCTCATGCCCAGGCTGCTTTGCATGCACGTGCACGATCTCGACTACAGGTGCGTGCCCTGCTCATGCCACTGCTGCTTCTGTCACTGCTCATGCCAGTCCAACTGTCAGCGCGCCTCACTGCTCCAAACCCCACCTCGCGTGCACCCCTGCTGTGCTGTGTAAGTGCAGTGGGGACATGGGGCTGCTGTCACAGGGTGAAGGGGAGCCCAGCGCAGTGCAGGTGAAATACAGGCACCTGTTGTGCCGCTCATGCATGCAGGCGCAGCAATGCCATGCTATTCCCTTCCCACTCCACTCGTACCTTCATCTTCATGCGTCACTTCTGCTTGTTGTGCCAGCCTTACGCCCCTGCATCTTTTTCCCTGCTGCCTCACACATCTACACTGCCCTCTGCCCCCCCAACTGCACATCTATGTGTGCGCAGTCCCTCGCAGGCACATCTCCCCGCACCACCTACTCTCACCTCAGGTCAGATTAGGCGCCTTCGCCAGCTGCTCCAACCACCTCATTGTTTATGTTTTTCAGATGAATCCACCTCTCCATGGTTGCACTTGCGTTCTAAATGATTTCCCCCTCCATCACGTCACTCCTGCATGTGCCCTCTGCAACTACTCTCCACTCCTCTGTTTGTCTGTGCCCGCCACTCTCAGGACCTCCTTGTCAGGGCCGCCCGTGCTCGCAGCCCCACCAGGCACCCCTCCCCACGCCTCGCCTTCCGCCTCCTCCCCTCGCCTCCCCACGGACCGTTCCTCGCCCTCGCATTCGCTCCTGCCTGACCGCGCGCTAAGCCAGGGAGCCATATCCTCTGCTCGCACCATGAGCCACGGAGGTCTAGATTCGGGAGAATTGGATTGATGCATGCATGAAGGGTACATTTAGGTGGCTGATAGGTATGCTTTAGGCTAGGCTTCGTTGCCCGGCATGAGGGTCAACCTGTGACTGCTCATGGTAGCTGGGTGTGGCTGGTTACACCCTATGTTTCTTGTGCTTATGTGCAGTGTTGCAGTGTGTGTATGTTATTATTGCATTTCCTATCTGCGTGCTCTCTCCGCTCCGAAAAGTCACGGATTTTTGTATGTGTCATTCTGGCATGTAGAGTGTAGGAATGTGCTGTGCCACGGTCAGCAGGGTGATACTCATAGCGTTTATAGCTGGGAGAATATGCCACTCGTAATCAACAAGGGTCTCGATAATATGTTGGGTAAAAAAATAATGGGTACGGTCACTGCAAAGGGTGTTTTCACGTGTTTGATAAAAGGTTTCACGGAATCAGTCACAATCAACTGGGAAAAAATAACGCGAATGGTCACAGACAGGCCCCCAGAAGTCAGAGAAATTTCTCTGATTTGCCTTAAAAACTCTGATATTTCAGCCTTTTTTCGAAGTGAACTCTGAAAATTCAGCCTTTTTTTGAGAAAAACCAGGAAAAATGCGATTTTTTTCTAGTGTGCAATGGTATTTCTGCAGGAAAGACTCTGATTTTCAGAGTTAAGTCATGTACCAACTCTGAATTTTCAGACTAGCCCAAAACCAATCTGAGGGCCTGGTCACAGATGAAACTCCCGCCCAAAAAAACTAATACCCAAAACGAACCTGGATGCATTTTCGGATGAATCAACCCTAAACACAACTCGCCAGGTGTTTAGGGTTGATCCGTTCCCAAACCGCATCCGATTCCGATTGGGTTTATGTATTTTGAGAAATTAGCTGATTGGTTTAGCGCGAGCGGGAATTTTGTAGAGTTTCAATTAATTTTGGCGGGAGTTACATGTGTGACCATTCGCGTGATTTTTCACCTGTTGTTAGTGACTGAATCCGTGACCCCACTTACCAAACCCGTCAGCAAACCCGATACAGTGATCGTAGGCGTTCCTTTTTTACCATTCACGTTATCGAGTCCCATATTGGTTACTTGTGACATATTTTCCCTTTATAGCTTATATTGTACCAGACGTGTATGCTAAACATACACTCGAATTCTCAGGGCAGTTCATCTTCCAATCGGGTCGCCTCGCCATGACAACTGCTTAGTGGTTGCAGGACATCCCAAGGCTTCGCCTCGAGTGTCCATTGGCTCATCACGCCTGCTTGCCCGCTTCGGAGCCCAGGCAAGGCACGGCCGTCAATGGGAACCCACGCTCGCCTCGCTATCCCCCGCACACATCGCTGGGCGCCGTCCCACGCGTGCAGATCTCATCGCCAGTAGACCTGCCCGCCACACCTGCCTCCACTCACCCGTCCGCTCCTCCCCCGTTCCTTCACGCCATGGCTGCCGGCCGCTCGTGGACCCACTGCCGCCTCGCGGGGCTCGTGTTGCTCGCCGTGTGCTGCCACGTGCACCGCGCCGTCGCCTTGGCGCCGCTGGGCCGCGCGGAGCAGTCGGAGATGCGCGAGACAGCGCGCACCATGTGCGCTCCCTAGCCCCTCGCCTCCCGCCTCTACTCGCCCTCTCTCTCCTCTCATCTCCGCCGTTCCTTGCTCAATTCATAGCTCTCGAATTCTGTCGCGACTGCCGCCATGTTCGGAGCGCGCGCTCGTAGTCCTTGTGTTTCGGCCTCATGCGCTCCCGTTGGCTCCCCCTTCCTCCCCTCCCCTGCTCATGTGCGTCGCATCACGTGGGGTGGCGGGCGGCGCAGGTTCTACCACGCGTACGACAACTACATGCGCTACGCCTTCCCTGTAATTCCTCGCCCTTACCGCCCCGCTCGCCCTCTCCCCCGCCTCACGCTCTCCTCATCTCCTTCCCCTTTACCCCCTCAAACCCAACCCCCACCCACCCACCCCCACACCCACCTTCCCTGCTTCTTACCAATAAACGCTGCAATTCTCCCCCTCCGCCATGTAGAACGTCCCTTGCTCCTTCGCCTCGCCCCCCCCCTCCCTCTTCGCCACGCCTCTCACCGCCCTCTCATGGTTGTGCTGCCGAGATCGCGCGTGTGTGGGCGGTGCGCCATGATATCGTGCTCCCCCACCCGTGCGTGCGCAGCACGACGAGCTGAAGCCGCTCTCGCGCTCCTACACCAACTCGCTGGGGGAGCTCGGCAACCTCCAGGTGCGCTCTGCTCGTGCTGGACCGTGCACGGGTGCAAGGGGCATACACGTGCAGGAAAGGGGGGTGGTTGGTGATGGGGGAGTGGGGACAGGGGTGACAAACACAGATGGAGAAGGGGGATGGGACAGATAGACAGTTGGGTAAGAGATGTGGTGCGCATCCTCTTTGCTTCATATCGTTTCCCCTCGTTTTTGCATTCCCGTATGTTGGTGGCACCAGATGCAGCACCTATCGACCAACTACAATGGAAGCGCTCTCACCCTCATCGACTCGCTCTCAAGGTGCCCACCTCACCCCCCTCCACACCACATGCCGCCCCTCCCCCCTCGCTGCCACTCACACTGCACTGCTGCCATCCCTGCTCACCCTCTCCTCCTCGTTACTCCATGGCACGCCACCTTATTGTAATCTCCTTCATCGTCCTTTTCATCCGCTCCACTTCTTGCCTCTTCTCTTCTCACCCATTCCCTCTGCACGCACCTCCCTCTCCCCCTCACCCCCGCTCGCCCCCTCCACCCCCCAGTCTGGCAGTGCTGGGCAACGTGAGTGAGTTCCAGCGGGCAGTGCGCTGGCTAGCATCATCGCTCTCCTTCCATGCCGACGTGCGCGTCAACACCTTCGAGGTACCAAGCCCCCTGCTCGCACCTTTCCCACATCCCCTTATGCACACGGGCCCCGTCCCCCTCCTTCCTGCTGCCTCTCTCAATCATCCAGTGCCCACCCCATGTCCCCCTGCGTCCCTGTGGTGGCGGCAGTGCAACATCCGGCTGCTGGGAGGGCTGCTCTCCGGCCATCTGCTCGCCCAGCACCACTCCCTGCTCCTCCACCCCCCGCCGCCCCCCACCTCGCCCTCCTCTCGGGGCACAGCTGACAGAAGGGAGGGAGCAGAGGGCGAGATGGAGAAGGGGCATGGAGCGCGGAGAGGCAGGGAAGAAGGTGCAGGTGCAGAGGGGAAGGGTACAGGGGCTGCAGCAGGCGACAAGCAGGAAGGGGAGCGGAGGAGTATGGATGAGGAGGGAGAGGGAGTGAGGGCGGGAGTGGAGGCGGGGGGGAACGAGGAGGAGGGGGAGACAGGGGCGTGGTACCGGGGCGAGCTGCTGGTGCTGGCGGAGCAGCTGGGGCGGCGCCTCATGCCCGCGTTCAACACACCCACGGGCATTCCCTACGCGTGGATCAACCTCAAGGTCACACGCCCACTATTCACTCCTCATGGGGGGGACAGGCCAGGGAATACTTGCTGTGGGTGTGGCTGCTTGTGGGGCAAGAGGGGAATGGGCGGGGCGTAATGAATGAGGCTAGTGCTGCCTTTCGTCCCTTGCCCATTGTCCCCTCTCACTCGTTTCCAACGTTCCGTACTGCACTCTTCGTCTTCCTGCCTTCACGTTCCCCTTTTCCCACTCTTCACTTGTCTGTGTTGGTCATTTAACCTCCATCGCCCTGCCCTTTCCTGTGCCCGCTTGCCCTGCCGCCTTGCCATGTGCTGCAGTACGGGGTGAGGGCGGGCGAGACCACTGAGACCAGCACGTCCGGCTGTGGTCAGTCTCGTCACCCACTGCCCTCACTCGCTGCCTCTCCCCCACACCTTCTCTTTTCCTCTTGCGCTGCCTTCCACTATGCACCACTTGCCTCTTTGCTGTGTGCATACCCCACAGTCCCTGTGCGTGCATGTGTGCTCTGTACCTCCTGCCCTCCACTCCACTCACCATTGCCACCATCCCACCCTGGCGATCCTGCGCGCGCCCTGGATCGTGTTCCAGGGCATGCATACCCGACCATACGTTATCTGTCATTGCACAACTGCACCTCTCTATCTCCATCCTCTCTCCCTTCCCCCCTCCTCCCCCGCTCCCAGGGTCGCTCATCCTGGAGTTTGGGCTGCTGTCGCGCCTCACAGGCGATCCGTGTTTTGAGCGGGCAGCGCAGGGGGCGCTGAGGCGGGTGTGGGGCATGCGGTCGGCGGTGGACCTGGTGGGGACGACGCTGGACGTGGCGAGTGGGCAGTGGGTGGAGGGCAACACGGGCATCGGTGCAGGCGTGGACTCCTTCTACGAGTACCTGCTCAAGGCCTACGTGCTCTTTGGCGACCCCGACTACTGGCACATGTTCCAGGTCGCCTACACCGCCACCCAGCGCTACCTACGCACGCCCCACCCCTCCTCCTGGTAACCACCCTCAGGGGCTCTGGGGTTGTCATGACCGGGAGTGTGCCGTGGGTGCATGGTGGGCGGGTGGTGTGCATGTGGCGCCCTGCATGGTTGTCATCCTGACTCGCCCTGCCATGTGCCATGGTGGTGCCCTGCAGGTACCATGATGCGCACATGCACACGGGCAGCCCCACCTATCGCCAATTCGCCAGCCTCCAGGCCTTCTGGCCCGCCCTGCAGGTGTGCTGCCTCTGCCCAGCTCCCCTCTGCTCTGCTCCGCTGCACCTTCCCACCACCACTCCTTGCCCCTCGATCCTCGCTCTGCCGTGCCTCTACTGCACTGCGCCCATCATCTCTCCCATCCGTCCCTGCCCCACACTGCCTTGTGCGCCCTGCAAAGGTGCTGGCAGGTGACGTGGCAGCAGCCAATGCAACGCACCGGCAGTTCTTCACAGTGTGGGAGAAGTTCGGCCTGCTGCCTGAACGGTGACTCTCTCCTGCCCTCGCTGCTCTGCTGCTTGCTCCATGCCATGCCACGCTATATGTCAGGCCATGCCACGCATACCCCATACTTCTCTCTCCTGTACTATGGTTGGCGTCATGCTGTCCTGAATGCCTCAGATGCATGTTCTCCCGTCTCCCACTCCTCTTATCGCCCCTCCCTGCTCCCCACGCGTACCCGACTCTCTCGCTGGGGGTGGGCAGGTATCTGTTTGACATGGGGGTGCCGCATCCCACGTTCTTCGCACCGGCGGGCGCCGTGGGGAGACGTGCGGGCTGCCACACACTGCGCAGCGCTGCTTCGGTCGCCTCACTGACGCCTGGCGCGCCCAGTTTCCTGACGCTGTTGAGCTCCCTCGCTGGGGTGATCTTCTTAGGCAGAATGTTGCTATCTTTGATCTAGATTTCGATGCTATCCTTGCTGCCATGTATGATGTGACTGATAGTGCTGAGGGTGACTGCTACCTGTATGTTCCCCCCGACCCGGGCATTGAGGCTGCTGCTCTAGGTGCTAGTGCGTCTGCTGCTCCAGGTACTGGTGAGTCTGCTGCTCCAGGTGCTGGTGAGTCTGTTCTCTCTGGTACTGCACCTACTGAGGCCTTGCACACTTTCACACTTGACTCTGGTGCTTCGCGCTCTTTCTTTCGCGACAGCACCACACTCACGCCACTCAGTCGGCCTGTCGCAGTCTCCCTGGCTGACCCCTCTGGGGGCCCAGTCCTTGCGCACTCTTCCACGGTTCTACCGTGTCCTGCGGCCCCGTCGGGCTTGCTGTCGGGACTCCACCTCCCCTCGTTCTCTACGAACTTGGTGAGTAGAGCTGACCTCCAGGACGCGTGGGTTGACCAGTTCACCCCTGGAGGTCAGCATGTGACCCACTGCACTTGCTCTCGGACGGGCTGCCACCTGACCACGTTCACCCGTCGGCCTGGGTCGAGTCTGTACACACTGACTACTGCGTCTCCTCCGGTTACTGCGTCTGGTCAGGTAGCCGCGTCTGGTCAGGTGTTTTCTGCCGCGTCCTGGTCTAGTCCAGCATCTACCCCCTGCTCGTGTCGTCCTCTGTCACACGAGACTCTCCTTTGGCACCACCGCCTTGGTCACCCCTCCCTGCCTCGTCTTCGAGGTATGGCCTCCCGTACCCTTGTCTCTGGTCTCCCACGGTACCTCCCTCCCCTTCCTCCGGAGCCTGCCCCTACCTGTGTTCCTTGTGTCGAGGGCCGGCAGCGCGCCGCTCCTCACTCCTCCGAGTTCCCTCCGACAGAGGCTCCTCTGCAGACTCTTCACATGGACGTGTGGGGCCCAGCCCGCGTCCGTGGACAGGGTCACGAGCGTTACTTCCTGCTGGTCGTGTCAAACATATATGCTTAGTTATATCTAGGCTTAGTTCATGTGTTTACATTTGTCTAGGCTATAGTGGGTTTAGCCTTAGGGGGTACAGAATTCTCTCGACATTCTACTTGTACCCTTCCTTGTTTCCTAGTCAATCATCCTCACCTAAGATTTTAACATGGTATTAAGAGCAACTAAGTCTTAGGACCTAGTCTCAATGGGCCCACCACCTACTGCACTGCCCGTACCTAGCCCGTCGACTTCGTCGCCCGCGCCCGGCCCGTACCTAGCCCGTCGCCCGGCCCGTACCTAGCTCGTCGCCTCGGCCCCGTCGACTTCGTCGCCCGCGCCCGGCCCGTACCTAGCTCGTCGCCAGGCCCGTACGTAGCCCGTCGCCTCGGCCCCGCTGGCCCCGTCGTCTTCGTCGCCCGCGCCCGGCCCGTACCTAGCGTGTCGCCTCGGCCCGTACCTAGCCCGTCGCCCGGCCCGTATGTAGCCCGTCACCTCGGCCCCGCTGGCCCCGTCAACTTCGACGCCCGCGCCCGGCCAGTACCTAGCCCGTCGCCCGGCCAGTACCTAGCCCGTCGTCCGGCCCGTACCTAGCCCGTCGCCCGGCCCGTACCTAGCCCGTCGCCTCGGCCCCGCTGGCCCCGTCAACTTCGATGCCCGCGCCCGGCCCGTACCTAGCCCGTCGCCCGGCCCGTACCAAGCCCGCGCCTGGCCCCGTCCTTCGCCCAGCGCCCGGCCCTGTCTCTTGCCCGCGCCCGGCCCCGTACCTAGCCCCGCGCCCGGCCCCATTCCGCGCCCAGCGCCCGGCCCCGTACCTGCCCAGTGCCCGGCCCCGTACCTGCCCAGCGCTCGGCTCCGTACTGCCCAGCGCCCGGGCCAGTACCTGCCCAGCGCCTGGCCCCGTACCTGCCCAGCGCCCGGCCCAGTCCCTGCCCAGCGCCTGGCCCCATTGTTTGGCCCCGTGGCCCCTAGGCCCCTCGGCCCCTTGTTTGGCCCCTCGGCCCCCCTAGGCCCCTCGGCCCCCCCAAGGCCCCCCCGGCCCCTTGTTTGGCCCCGCGGCCCTAGGCCCCTCGGCCCCACCTCAAAGCCTGGCGCCCGGCCCCCCCGGCCCCTACTTGGCCCCTCGCCCCCCCCCTAGGCCCCTTGTTTGGCCCCTCGGCCCCCTAGGCCCCTCGGCCCCCCCAAGGCCCCCCCCGGCCCCTTGTTTGGCCCCGCGGCCCCTAGGCCCCTCGGCCCCCTAGGCCCCCTGTTTGGCCCCTCGGCCCCCTAGGCCCCTCGGCCCCCCCAAGGCCCCCCCGGCCCCTTGTTTGGCCCCGCGGCCCCTAGGCCCCTCGGCCCCACCTCAAAGCCTGGCGCCCGGCCCCCCGGCCCCTACTTGGCCCCTCGGCCCCCCCTAGGCCCCTTGTTTGGCCCCTCGGCCCCCCCAAGGCCCCCCCGGCCCCTTGTTTGGCCCCGCGGCCCCTAGGCCCCTCGGCCCCACCTCAGAGCCTGGCGCCCGGCCCCCCCGGCCCCTACTTGGCCCCTCGGCCCCCTAGGCCCCTTGTTTGGCCCCTCGGCCCCCTAGGCCCCTCGGCCCCCCCCAAGGCCCCCCCGGCCCCTTGTTTGGCCCCGCGGCCCCTAGGCCCCTCGGCCCCACCTCAGAGCCTGGCGCCCGGCCCCCCGGCCCCTACTTGGCCCCTCGGCCCCCTAGGCCCCCTGTTTGGCCCCTCGGCCCCCTAGGCCCCTCGGCCCCCCCCAAGCCCCCCCCGGCCCCTTGTTTGGCCCCGCGGCCCCTAGGCCCCTCGGCCCCACCTCAGAGCCTGGAGCCCGGCCCCCCCCCCCGGCCCCTACTTGGCCCCTCGGCCCCCTAGGCCCCTTGTTTGGTCCCTCGGCCCCCTAGGCCCCTCGGCCCCCTCTAGGCCCCTCGGCCCCCTGTTTGGCCCCGCGGCCCCTAGGCCACTCGGCCCCACCTCAGAGACCGGCACCCGGCCCCCCGGCCCCTTGTTTGGCCCCTCGGCCCCCTAGGCCCCTCGGCCTCTTGTTTGGCCCCGCGGCCCCCAGGCTCCTCTGCCCCTATGGCGTTGCTTCGGGTTCTCCCGTTCGACCCGGAGGGCAGACCTGTAGCATTTGACACGTGGCACGACGATCTGCAACTGTACCTACTGAGCAACAGTCGGGACAGTGTCTCGCTGTTTGACCTCGTGTCCGGTGCCGCTCCAGCCCCTCCCGCCACAGCTGAAGTTTCGACTCGTTCCCAGTGGCTCTCTCGTGGCGCTACTGCCCGCTTGGCCATTCGCAACCACCTGCCCGCAACAGAATGTGCTCACTTTGGCGAGCACAGGACAGCACAGGCCTTGTACGACGCTGTCGTTGCTCGCTACTCCTCCCCTGCCACTGCTGCTCTTGGCAGACTGCTACTGCCCTACCTGTTCCCTGAGCTGTCGGCTTTTGCCACAGTAGCAGACATGGTTACCCACCTGCGCACTAGCGACGCTCGCTACCGCGCTACCGTTCCTGCTGAGTTCCTTCTCACGAACCAGCCCCCCATGTTCATCACCCTCTACTTCATAGTCACTCGCCTCCCTGACTCCCTTCGCTCTGTCAGGGACCACTTCCTCACCCTCGACCCCACTTCCCTCACTGTTGACCTCCTCGAGCAGCATCTCCTCGCAGCTGAGACTAGTGCAGTTGCTGTAGGTGCTGCTCGTGGCACCCCGCGCTCACCCTTCTTTGAGGGGTGCTCCCCCTCCCCCCTTTCCTCCTCCTTCGCCTCTGCTGCTCCTGCAGACGTCTCTGTTCCTGAGGACGTCGGGGCTGCTTCGACCAGTACGAAGCGCCGCAACAGCAAGGGCAAGGGTGGCCGGGGTAGTGGAGGAGGCAGCGGTGGTGGTGGAGGTGGCAGTGGGCGTGGCAGTGGGGGCAGCGGTAGAGGAGGCGGAGGCGGTGGAGGTGGTGGCGGCGGTGGAGGCAGCGGAGGGGGTGGCGGCAGTGGAGGCGGTGGGACCAGTGGTAGTCGGTTTGGACCTCAGCGTGGAGGCCCTGGTGGCGGTCGGGGCCAGCAGCAGCAGCGTCGGAGCGAGACTCAGACGCCTCAGCAGCTCCGTGAGTGGTTGGTTCAGCGTGGGGCGGGCGAGGGTAGTGAGACCTGCCCGTATGTCATTCGCACGGGTGCCCGTGCGGGCAAGACATGCGGGCGGTTTCACACTGAGCGCCGCTGCTTTGCCCGCCTTGACGACGCCTGGCGCACTGAGTTTGGTGATGACGTCGAGCGCCCTCGCTGGGCGGAGTTGCTTAGGTCGGGAGTTGCCATCTTTGACCTAGACTTTGATGTTATTATCTCTGCCATGTATGCTTTGTCTTTTAGTGCTGAGGGTGACTGTTACTGGTGTGTGACGCCTGACCTAGGTATAGCCGCTGCTGCTCTAGGTGCTAGTGCGTCTGGTACTCCCCCTGGTACTGCGCCTGCTGAGGCCCTGCACACCTTCACGTTAGACTCCGGCGCCTCGCGCTGTTTCTTTCGTGACAGCACCAGTCTCACTCCTCTTCCTGCACCTGTTCCGGTCAGACTGGCTGATCCCTCTGGGGCCCCGGTC